CCCCGGGGCGGCGGCGAGATGGCAGATTGTTCTTACTAAAGCACCGGCTGGAACGCGACTGGAAATTGGTTGTGGTGGAAATCAGACAAGGCCCCCTATATGGCATTTTAGGCATTTTATTATTTTTTTTGTACAGAAAGTATTTCGCTGTATTTTTAAACAAACCTGTTGCATAGCCGTTCTATCGAAAGAAAAATAAATATTTCTTATAATCATTTTGCAGGGTCTCTAAATTTGTTACGATTTTTTGTTTTTATTAGAGTTGGAAGCCCTGGAAAGTTTCAGGAAATTTCAGGAAAATTTCTGGGGATAAATTAAAAATTTCCCAGACTTTGAAAGTTTTCCGTTAAATTTTGGGGAATTTTTCGAAATTTTCCGGAAAATTTTAGAAATTTTCTAACCTCTAGTTTTTACGTGCCGTCACCCTTTTCTTTTTGCGGAGCCGTGAGGCTTCGGCAGGCGACGCTCTTTTTCCGCACTTCTATCCTCTCCGGCGCGCCACAATGGCGTATTGAGATGAGGTTAGATTGCCTGTAATGCCTCACCGAGCGCGGCGCCCGGAGAGGCGAGGGGGGGGGGGCGAGGGAGCGCCGCGGAGCGCGGAGCTTTCGATATCGAAACGATATCGAACCGATGTGATTTGGGCGGCAATGGGCGCGGAGGAGATGAGAGACAGAGAGAGAGAGAGAGAGAGGGGGGGGGGCGATAGCCTGGGCGGAGAGGGAGAGCGGGGGGAGCTGTGTGGGAGAAGAGAGAGAAGAATAATACATACCTGGTGAAATTGGAGGCTAGAGGGGGAGAGAGAGAGAGAGAGAGAGAGAACTGTGCTGCGGGGGCGGGGTGGCAGTATTTCTCTGACGGGGTCGTTCCCAGCTGCGCCCAAGGTTAGGAAGTGACCGCCGCCTGCCGCTACGCCGGTCCACGCCTCGCAAACCCAACGGGGCGGTACTCAAGGGGTACAAAACATCACCCTCTGTCACAGTTCATCACCAGAAATGAGAGAGAGAGATATTTCTATGATGTTTATTTTGAAGAGTGATAAAAAAAAGTCGAAATAAGACAAAGTGTTTGAATTTTTTATGAGAGAGGAAAATGTCTGAATTTTAAGTACTCAGGTCGATTGTGTGTTCAATTGCACAGGAATATGAGAATTTATTGTTTGCACTGTTTCGAAAAGAAGCTAATGAGGTTTGTTGTTGGATGAAGCGCCTGGTGGGTGTGGGTAGGCAATGTACGGCCACGCTGCAGGAGCCGGTGGCCTATCCACTTCTTGGCAGGCGTCAGGACAGGAGAGGTGCACGCACGTAGCTTATTAGCTGCACAGGCCTATCTGCTCTGGGTGAAACTACCAGCTTTTCCTTTCGTTGCTTGCGGTGAATTTCATTGTGTAAGCTTCAGTGAACCCTGCGGCGCTAGAGGTTAAGGGGGATTTCCACCATAAGCTACGATAAATATCATTGTTGTCACGGTAAATTTGTCGTAAAAGTTTAAAATGCTGATCGGCCGGGGCCTGACAGGGTTTTTTTTCTCGGCTAAGCGCGGGCAGGCGGAATAGAAGGGGTGGTTAGGTGCAGTGCGGCGCGGCGCGCCACGCCCTGAAGATGGATCCCTGACGCGCGGCTGCAGAAATATATGACCGTGTCACCGGCTGCAGAGAGAGAGAGAGAGAGAGAGAGAGAGAGAGAGAGAGAGAGAGAGAGAGAGAGAGAGAGAGAGAGAGAGAGAGAGAGAGAGAGAGAGAGAGAGAGAGAGAGAGAGAGAGCAGAGCAGAGCAGCATGCCTTGATGTGCGTTTTCAGGAAATTGGTACTGGCCGCGACGGCACGGGCGGGCTCGAACTCACGACCCCATCACCCAGTGCCACGCTCTCTGAACGCCACGAAGCATTTACATCGCAATTGCAAAGCATGCAAAGAATTGCTTCGCAATTGGGAAATATCGCTTTGCGCGGCATTGCGTAGTTATTGCGATTGCAATTAACGTTAACGTAATGCTTCCCCGTATTCTGCAAATCAACCGAATCCTTCGCAATTTGAAGTCTGAAAAGTATTGCTTTGTTGTGATAAATTAAGAATGCAGTTGGATGCAGTTGATTGTTAGGTTGTATGGTGTTTGTAAGTGTGTGTGTGAGAGAGCTTTTTTTATGTCTGTGGGCCAAATGTCATGTCACGGCAAGGCACGCGCGTGTGACTGACTGAAACTAGGCTAGCACTCAGCGATCAGGGATCAGAGTAGGCAGAACGGAGAGGGAGAGGGAGATGTGCGGGTCGGAGTGAGAGAGAAGCTATTCCATCCCCACAGCACCGACGTTTTGAAAGCAGGCGCGTGACTGGCATTGCCAAATATGTAATGTGCGACGCGCGCAGAAACTCTCTCCTATGTGTGTGTGTGTGTGTGAGAGAGAGAGAGAGAGAGAGAGAGAGAGAGAGAGAGAGAGAGAGAGAGAGAGAGAGAGAGAGGGGGGGGAGAGATAGGAGAGTCTGTGCACGTGCGTGCTTGTGTCTGTGTAGGGGAGTCAGAGGGTGAGCCGAGCGTTGAGGGGGATGCTCAATTTGACAGGTGTCGGAAGTGGGATTATTCACGTTGAGTTTGTTGTGCGGTCGACTTCTTGTGTGCGTGATGAAAGAGGCTATAGTCGGAGTTTTAATTTGTTAAACTCTTACAGAGCCGCCTATCCCATCATTCTTTGACACTGTCTCCTTTCCGCAGCTTCTTCTTTCTGCACTTGGCGACGGGCAAGGAGCTGTACGAGCTCGAGACCGACTACAACAGGAATCTACCTCCAGGTGAGTGATCTCGTTCCCGATTACCGGCCTACCACTCGCGCGTCGTCCTTGACAGGCACTAAACTCTGCTCTCTTTCTCCCTCTACTCTGTTATTTTTCCCTCAGTCACCTAGGATTTTTGTCAAAATGATAAATACTTTCCTTGACGCATGGCAGAGTGCTGTAAAATCGCCAGGGACAAGAACAGGAACTCCTCTTTCTCACCTTTCGCCTTGCAAACGGCCTGCAAGAGGCCAAGCCGAGCCGCAGCCTGGGCCACAGGCGGGCTCAGCCCGCACAGCGGCCTCGGCGATCGGCCTAATTCGTCGACTTTGCGGCACTCTGGTGTATGCCTTTCTTTGCCCTCCTGCAATTATTGATTTCATCGAGCCAAGGCACAGAAACCACTTATAGGGCTTAAGTCAGGGGCTTGCTGGTGCGTTTGAGGGGATGCACACGCCATCTCTTTCGCACACGGTGTAGAAAAAGAATTAACTTTAAGAAGCGAATAGCGTGACTTATTTTTATGTACAATCATGTGATGGATTTCTTCGTCAGCCCTGTACTTGGAAAACAGATTATGACTGACAGACTGTAGCGTCACATGGTTGTAAAAAAAATAATTGCCATGCTGTTCTTGTTATTCTTCAGATATATTTTTTTTTTCTCGCAGTGCAGCCCCCGCACGCGGCCCGGGCCATCCATCAGGGCGGGTTGCTTGCCGCCGCTGCCGCGGCGCAGCCCGTGTGTGGGCAGCACCGCGACGAACACCTTTGTTCTAAAATAAAGGACCCTTCCTCGTGGTGGCCCAGGGCCGTGGCGGGCAGTGGCGGGGCGGGGTGGGGCGGGGCGGGGAGGGACAGGCCACTCAAATCGAATTTGTAAACTTGCGGGTGCGCAGAGTGCCGGGTGGTGCTTGCAGCGTGCGGATGGGCGGCCGCGCGGCCGGTGAGGAGCAGCTGCGCAGCCCCCGGCCCCGGCGCAGCCGCTCGCTCATCGCGCCTCAACACGGCATCGGCCACTGTGAAAAGATACAAGAAAACTTTTGGGTTTCTGCGGGGCTAATTTTCCGTAAAAAATAAAAGTCGTAAAATTACGAACCTTGAATGTCGTAAGATAGTCAGTGTATTTTGCAAGTATGATTTGCAAGTATTATTTTCGCTTCTCGATCAAGGTGTGCTATTTGCGATGATATTTTTCCCCGTGGCCGTGCGCCCCACCAACTCTGCCGCTCATCGCATTACCTGCCGCAGTAGCGCAGCGCCTCGCGCCGACCCTTCAAACTTACAACGAGCCCACGCAGGAGCCCGGCCTCGCCTCGGCAGCCCTGCAGAGGAGGATTGGGAAAGAAAAAAAAAACAATAATTCGTACATTAATATTGAGAATTTATTGGCAATGCTTTCGGGGAACAAGGAAATTGAATTTTGATGTTCCCTGCTTGCTTCTTGTTTTGTTTTTTTCAACCACTTTTCCCTTTTTTCTGTAAAAATGTACCGGTTTATTGAAGCAAAAGGCAGAGCATTTACTGGCGAGCGGCGCGCTCCCCCCGCCCCACTCACTCCGCAGTGACCATTAATCATTGCCATCCATCATCAGGCTGTCGGGGCCCAACGTCCTTAATGAGACACTGTATCTTCTTCTCTCGTGCCTGCCTGCGCGGCCTATCCTCCAGCCCTCTCCGTCCGCCACGCATCAAGGACAGGGGACAGGGACGGTAACAACTGTTGCGTGCCAACAAATTGAATGGAGCTCGACTCGTTTTTATTTTGTCCCTCTAGGTCTTTTTACGGTATCCCCCCCCCCTTTTTTTTCAACTGTTTTTTAGACGTTTTTGTTGGTAACCTTGGACGTTATATCGTGCACATTTTAGTGATTCAGACATACATTCCCCAACTTTGGCCGCGGTACCCACGGAAATATTGTTTCACAAAAACAAACTCCAAACCACCCTAACGTTCAACTAGGACTCGGTTGGTTATTCCCTACGTAGGTAAAACCAGGTAAAACTCGGTTTAATCCCTTCCTCTCCCTTGGCGAGGCCGAGGCACAAAAATGTGTCCAGAAGGCGTCCAGTGAGCACACTGTTGTATTTATTTAGACAGCATGCCTGAAACCACGTCCCGTCTTGCCCAAGCATGCTGTTTAAGCAGTATCCTAATACCGAAGCACACTGTTAGTTCGGTTTCCAGAGCAACGTCATCCTAGCGACCTTCTTTACCTCCACCCCTCCCCCCTCCCCCTCCCTGCCCGCCCACGTTTCGCGTGGACAGCCAATCGTTGTTGCGAGTTGCGCCTCGGGGTGAGCTCCGTCCAGCTCTGGCATTTAAAATGAGAATTCCTAACCTAACCCAACACAGCGGTCCGCTAGCGTGTCCTTGGCTCCCCTTCCTCCCCTTCTCCTTTCACCCTTCCCCCTCCCTCTCCCTCCCTCTCTCCTCACTCCCAACACCCCTTTCCCATTTTCTCGCGCACGAACAAACTCAACACCCGTCCCATTGGCATTCCACAGTATTTCGACTCACATCCCCTATTCTGTGCTTGTCGAGGAGTTTCCCGTGTTTGGAGCCGCGCTTCCGCGTGTCGCGTACGTTACAGTCATTGCACAAGTGTGCGATTCACGAGCAGTTAGCATGCCACACACTACTTGTCGGTGGGAATCAGACGAACGCTGGGCCGAACGCGCCGTGCCTGCAGTGATGCGGTGGTAAAGGTACAATAGAAATTACCTGATGTGACACCATAAAAAGCCCTTTGACACGTCCCTGTTCGTGTGTAACAGTAGTGGTTATACAAATTATTTTACGAAACAATATACCGTGCACCTTAGCAACGAAGTGTTACACAGCGTCCTTTTCGTTATGTTACATAGAATGATTTTCTGTGTGTAGAGGCGTAGAGATTGAAAAGATGGCCGATACGCGGTTTATACATTAAGTGGATACAGTAGGTAGGCGGGCCAGTTTGCTTCCCATATGCACACTCCATGCGCTCCCACTCGCGCAACACTAGTGGCGCCCCAGGCGCTCCCACTCCCTCCGGCGGCACGTCAGCGCCTTGGAGGCACCGCCAGCAGGACACCGCTTGCAGGCAGGTCCGGCTGCACGCGAGCAGCCAGCCGCAAACCCCGCTGCAGCGACACCCCGCCCTTCCACGCCCCGTCACGCCCCGCCCCGCCAAGCCACTCCCCGCCACTCTTGTCCCGCGATCAAGCAAGCCCAACCTCTCCACCCCGACCGAATCACCGAGGGAATTGATTTTGTGTGCCTTTGCCCTGCTGCTGTTTAAACCAGAATGCAGGGCCATACCGCAGATGGACTAATTTCATTCGTCTTCTCTCTCTCTCTCTCTCCCTCTCCTGCTAATTATTTCAACGTAAGTGATTGCCATTTCTGGAATACAAACGTAACTTACTACTATAACAACCTTCAATAGACAATACTTACCGCAGAAACAAGGCACGTATTGTAATCTAAAGCATATTGTTTTTCTTAATCTCTTCTTTTGGCACGATATGTCCCATACAAGCTAAGTCTGTAGCACTCTTGTGTTTTCATGGGCTGTGACACCCTGTTTTGCGCAAGACTTAAACAAATTATAATTCTGAAATCTCTCTCCCTCCCCTCCTACCTCTCTCTCGCTCTCTCCCCGTATTTATTACTTTATCTTCTCGTTATCCCCTCCTACCCCACCACCGGCACACATGCAGAACTACGACGCGACGCCGACACTAAAAATACTCGCACGCCACGCCACGTAGCCCCAACATTGCATGCGTCCGCGTTTATATTTTTTCACGCCAGGATGCTTAGCATTGCGAAAAGTCTCCCTTATATGCGTCCCTGCCGTGGGGCGCGCCCGCGGGGAGGCAAAGAGGGGGGTGGCGGAGGAAGGGGGTTCTTCTTGCGTCACAGACAACAACAACAGCCGCAGTAGCCCCGGGTATGAATGCTAAGAATAGTCGGCTACTATCACACATTACTGGCCATACCGCCACCACCACGCCCCGCCACGCCCCGCCACGCCCCGCCACGCCCCGCCACACCCCGCCACGCGCCTGCACGCGGTGGTTGGCGCCGCTTGCTCGCCCCCCGGCGCTGCGGCTCTTTTTGCTGTTGTGTGTACTCCCACGGGGTGATTGCGGCGAGGCCAATCCGCGTCCTCACGAAACAGAAGGTGAAAATAGTCTGCCTGGATGTATACATTGTGAAGAAATGCTTTCGAGTCACATATCACCTCGGAGGAAAAAATGTTGAGTCAATTTTTGATTGACCAACAAGTGTTGTTAAGTTTTAAACATTTGACACGAGCCATTTGGTGAGAGATTTGTTCTGCAAATTGCAAAAATCCCATTTAAAAGGGCTAGTAATGTTTTTAAAATCACCCTCAAAAATGAATTATGTTTTTGTTTGCTGATTTAGCTTACCCCACAAACTAAAAGAAGTGATTGTTCTTTTTTTTCCTGTCCTGAATTTGCTAGTTGCCTGTACGCTTCTGTGTGACTGTGTCGGGGTGCACGCCCCACCCCCACCCCTGGCTGTTACCGTCGATACGCGCCGTAAAGCAGTCGCTCGACGCGCAGCGCTGTTATTGCGTAAGGACAGAGAAAGAGAGATAGAGATTGAGAAGGGGAGTGCACCGGGCGGCCGCTCAGCTGCAGTCTTACTATGTTGCCGGAGAGATCCCGACCGCCTGCGGCACTTCGCGCTAGCTGTTCAGCTGTTCCAGCCCGCCGCCTCGTCTCACCTAGCCCCATTCCGCTCACCTAGCGACATTTACGACCTAATTTGGAGAGCGACGAAACTGTCGCGCGGCGGCGCGGATACTGCTGCTGCAGAGGCTACGGCCTCCCTGCCGCCCATTCTTTAGACGAGCTTTATTCGTTTCGCTGCTGCGTGCGCCTTGGAGGAAATGGATTCCTCCCGCGGCCCCCCATATTGCCGTACTCTATCGTCGGAAATGCTAATTATTCTCGTTTTCTGCCGTGAGTGAGCGCGGCGCACGGCGTGTGCGGCTGACACCTCCTTTTGATCACATAGTGCGATTTCCTAATCCAGAGCTGGGAACTGGGGGTGTGGCGGGACGTGGCGGGGTGTGGCGGGGCGTGGGGGGGCGTGGCGGGGCGTGGCGGGGCAGGCAACACCTTCCCCACCATTGTTTAATCCCCCGGCAGCCAGAGATGGTAATCTTAAGACAGGCAGAGCGAGGAGGGCGGAGTGCCGAGTGGGCCGGGGGGCATAAAGGTCACGTGACAGCCCAAACACGCCCCTTATCCTCCATCTCTCACGCTTCCCCATGGTGTACACTCTCATCCCGTTACTGATTTTCATGACCCATTTTGTCAGTAACCATGTTGCACTGTTTTCGTGATTTTACGAAAAAAATGTTACGAAATGCTTCGTAAAAAATAATTTCGTAAGTGTCAATTTACGACACGTTTCGTAAAGTTACAAATATATTTCGTAACGAACGAAAATTTTTGGGTTGAACGTCATAAAAACATGTGTATTGAATAAAGCTGTACGACATAATAGAAAATATGGGCAATAATCATGCTGTAATCCTGCTGTAGAAAATGGGAACGTTACTGAAAAAGACACATTTGGGATTAGTAAATATTCAGCATGTCCGGCATGTCCTAATTATAAATCACAGGGAAATTCTTACCGCTTTTTGAATTGTTCTTTTGGACCGGCCGCAAAATACACACGAGTTTTTCTCGCCCATCTCTTTTGGTAGCTGCGTCGCTGCCACACACACAACGCCTACCAGGCGGCGTCCCTTTCAGCCCCTCTCAACGCATTCACTCCGCATCTCTCTACTCACCTCCCCGTCCCCTGCGAGCTCACAGCTCCTGCTGCGCCACAGCAGAGTCACTCTGGTTCGGCAACGGCAACAGCCGGACATTCACGCGTTTGGCGGGTTGCCTGCCCCGGGTTCCGCGAGCGTTCTCCACGATGCACGCGCGGGCCCTCGCGCCCTCCCCACCGGCAGTGACCTTGCACCGCCTTGCACGCTAAAATCCTTTGAACTTGTTTATTCCCAGTGTGCGTGCTCCACGCTTTCGAATTTTGTAATACGCCGCAGTATGAAGAAATTTTGTCATTCTGTGGCATTAAAAAATGCGTAAGAGTAGCACGCACAAAGACATCAGTAAAGCTGTGAATTAACATGTCCGCAGTGCACGTTATAACTGTTTCATGATATCCAAGGACCATCGGAAGGATTCTAGGATGGAGTAGTAAACACTGCATGGGGCGTCCTTGAATCGTTCCGATTGTCTTGGACAACAAGGAATCATTTTCGTCCTGTTTTTGTGTGCGCTCCCGAATAATTATTCTCCGCGGCACTCTGGCTTCAGACTGCCCTCTCGGTCTCTCTCCTACCTCTCCTCCTGAAACAAAAAGCTGCCCGCTCAGAAGCAAACCCGCATTCGACCGCCGCCGCGCTCAGCAGGTCTCTCGCGCAGTACACAGCTTTTCCCTGGGCGAGGGCGGGGCGCCTGCGAGATGCGGGTTAGGCCACCGGGTGTGCGCGGCTGCGAAGCAGGTGGCCTATCCCGCCGATCGCAGGCGCTCCGCCCTGGCCCTGGCTCAGGCCCGCCTCTGCTTCGCGGTGTGGTCGGGTAACTGCCCCTCCCTACGCGCGGCTCCCTTCTCCAGAACTCCTTGTTAGAACTCCCTATTAAAACTCCTGTTGACGCCCTGCCCTTCCGCCCTGTCTTTTCCTCCTTGTACCTCTCCCCTTTTCTCCGGACGTTTTTTCTCCTGCTCCGTCCTCCGTTTGTCGCTTTGCCTGCGGTGCTGCTTGCATTGTGAGGGGCTGCGGATACAACACGCCTCTTTCCCTCTCTCTCTCTCTGCCCTCTTCCTCTCACCCTCCATTTCAAGCGTGCGCTTTTCTCTCTCTTTCCTGTTATATGTTGCAGCAATAGTGTGGGGGAAAAGGGGGGGGGACTTTCCGCGCACAGAGGACCAGAACACACCACCACTGCAGGGCAAACAGAAGCGTTCATCCACACCGCCTTTATAGCCAACACACACACACACACACACACACACACTAAAACACACGTGCATTCTACAGAGGCATTCTCTCCCCGTTCACAGATGGTCGAGAGACTCTCGAGAGGGAGCAGAAACACACATGTTATTGAAGAAAAACAATGATGATTTTTGTTGTGTTGTTTTTTGTTTTTGTTTTTTGGATCTATCATGTATGCTAGTGTAAGTCAAAGACCAATTTTCCTGTTACCACTACCGGCAACGCATGAGAGGACGTTTCGCAGGACTCACGGGCGGACGGAAATAAACGGCATTGATTGCAAAGGCCTCGGTGGGTGGGCTGCTCACCGACCAAACGTGACTCCGAAGAGGGAAGAGTTTGAGGAGGTTGGTGGAGGGGGAGGCTGATCTATTTACAAAAGAACGGCACGATGTCGGCTGCTCCAAGTAG